AGCGTCTGGGTCATTGCAATGGAAAGAAAACAGATCTAACAAAGTGAATTGCAAGAGCCTTTTAGGAAAGTGAATCCATCAACTCTATTCTTACTATCAGTACAATTAAAGTCTTTAGAGACCTAGTTACTATAGACTCAAGACATGTGACCCTTCTATTGTTAAACTTGAGGTGGCCTGGAACAAGCATAATGAGGAAGCTGGCAATAATAGAACTCTTTTGATGTCTCTATCCTACTCCACAGGAGAAAGATAAATGGCTTCCTATAATGTCAAGACCCATCCAAGTTTAGTCTCATCTGTAATAAACTAAACATTCCCTGTCTGGAGTCCTGGAGAATAAATCCTATCTGTACCTACTCAGCTTTGAACTAAAGATTTGATAAAATGGCTTATCCACATGCAGTTTCCTCTTGAGAAAAGGAAAGAAAGAGGCAACAGCTGCATAAAAATATCCACAGCTGCAGTTTAAGAGATTTCCTAAACAACTGAAAAAGGAATATACAGTTACACCAAGTGGAGAGAAAAAAAAACACTGAGGTTGTAGGAACTTGATTTAAAGACCTGGAATTTGGCCCTAGGCTACAGCTTCCACTATAGTATAGATAAGAATCTATTCTTGAATGATGGGGGATTAGCCAAAAAAGGAGCTCTTTCAGAAGTCACTCAGCCAGCATCTGGAAGTCTTGGCTCTGAACTGACTGTAAGAAACTCACCTTGCTTCCTGTGTTCATCACATCAGAAGCTTACACTTAGGATTTAGGAATTGCCTCTTGAGAAACTTTGTGTTGCTAATTAGAAATGACCCCTACTTAAAAGTGTTAAGGAAGCCTCCCCCCGTCTAGATTTTTTTCCCTAAGGTTTCCCAGCTACTAGTATTAGAGTGCAGAGCTGGAGGGCGTAGGCAGGTGGTCTGTATTTAGATTAATAGTGGAAAGAAAGTGGCAGGCTTCTCACCACCACCAGGTGCCTTAAACCCTCAGCTCGGCTCTGCTCCGCACAGATCTGGCTCGCTTTAGCCCAGGGATTTACTCTGCTTACTGTCCATCCTCTTTCCTAATTTCTCTCTGAAAATCCCCTATTTAACCTAAGTTGAGAGAGGGAGGAAGAACACCTAACACTTTGTATTTCCTTATATGCTCAGGAACAGAGTAGGGACTAAGGTGAGGCAAAATTTTAAATAAAGATTGTGTCTGACAGGGAGAGGGTTAGGGAGAGGTGAGTGAGGCAGCGTTGTGTGAGTGTAGAATCGGAGCCTGCCTTTATTTAAAATTTTGATATCTTGTTTATCATGGGTATTATTTACCTTGATTAATGAATGTCTGTGGTACCTTTTTAAATTTTTCACCCAAAGCAAGTAACCTGTCCTTAGTCCAGGCCCTGCTCAGGAAAATGAGGCTCAGAGAGCTCAAATAATTTGCTCATGAACACCAAACTAGAAAGAGGCAGAGCTGGGATTTGACGCCAAGTTTGTTTGGATCCAAACCCATGTTTTTTTTCACTAAACCATTAGTCTTTTAACAGTCCTCATAGAGGATTATCTTGTGCCACTTATGATAATTAATCCATGAAATAAAGGTGCATTCACTTGTCCAGATGTGAAAGAAATGATTTAACATTTGTTCCTAACCTAGAGTGTGTGAACACTATTTTAAGTGCCAGTTGCTTCTGAGAGGTCAAGTTGGCTTTCTGCCTGATTCTCGTCTTGCATTTGGCACTTTTGACTGTTGTTTTTAAAACTCCTGTTGGTGTCCATGACCCCATCTCTCCTGGTTTTCCTCTTGCTTTTCTGATCATACTTTCTTCTATCTGCTTTGTAGACTCCCTTTCTCTTCCCGTTTCTTTTTTCTTTTTCTTCTTCTTTTTTTTTTTTTTTTTGAGACAGAGTCTCACTCTGTTGCCCGGGCTAGAGTGCCGTGGTGTCAGCCTAGCTCACAGCAACCTCAAACTCCTGGGCTCAAATAATCCTTCTGCCTCAGCCTCCCGAGTAGCTGGGACTACAGGCATGTACCACCATGCCCTGCTAATTTTTAAATATATTTTTAGTTGGCCAATTAATTTCTATTTTCAGTAGAGACAGGGTCTCACTCTTGCTCAGGCTGGTCTCGAACTCCTGACCTTGAGCGATCCTTGCACCTCGGCCTCCCAGAGTGCTGGGATTACAGGCTTGAGGCACCGTACCCGGCCTCACTTCCCATTTCTTAACTGTCACACATTTTTTCCCATCGTATATACTGATGACTATCTATCAATTCTCTTTTAGCTCAGACTTCTCTTACTGAGCTGCTTAACAGTAATCTCCATGTAGATATCTTAGAGATACTTCAACTTAAACCCTCAAATTGAGTTTCTCATTCCTTCCTGATTCCTGTCCCCACCCCCAACCTGTACCTTCTGATATAGACCCATACTTGGAGAATGGTAACACCTGTCTATCCAGGCACCCAAGCCAGAGACCTGACAATCTTTCTTCACTCTTCCCTTTCCTGCAGTGTCCATATCCGATAAGACAGCAAGTTCTGTTGATTTTTGCTTTCACATTATCCTCGATGCTGTCCCCTTCCCTTCCTTTTCACTGTCATTCAGCTAGTCCAGGTCTCCTACTGATGTCCTTGCTTCCAGGTATTTCTCCCCCAATCCATTCTCCACACTATTTCCACAGGGACCTCCCTTAAAAGCAAATTGATTATGTTGCTCCTTCTGGCTTATAGGACAAAGTCCAGCTCGATAACACAACAGATCTAGTTCTCCACAGGCTGACTCATATCTATCTTTCTTGTTTCATGTCTCACCTCTCTTCCTCCCTTCCCTCAACCTATGCTGAACTGAGGCAGTATTTCCAGCACACTTGTCTGTTTTGTGCTCTAGGGTCTTTACTCATCCAGCTTCCTCTGCCTGCAATGCCCTTCCCTTATTGATTTTACAAATACCTGCTCTTCTTTTAAGATTCCACCCCCAATTTTCTGTCAGGATCTCGGGACATTTGACCACTCCCTCTGGTGGGCTACTATTGTACCTGCTACATAATTTTATCCATTACTCATAACACTTCATTGCACTTATGCATTTACGTATCTGTTCTTCCCCTTATAAACTTCAAGCTTTGGGACAATAGGGCGTTTGAATGATTGATATCTATATCCAGAGTACTTAGTATAGTGCCAAGCCCAAGGAGGCACTGAATGTTGCTTTAAAATACTACTTCATTGAAAAAAAAAAAAAGAAAAAAAGATATATTGAATGAATGAATGGATACTTAATGAAAACAAAGCAGTGGGTCAACCCAATATGATACACTTGATAAAATCTTAGCAATTTACTCCAAAATGATGATCAAGCCAATCTGCATAGTAAAAAATATGAACGATCTATTACTGTCAGGTCAATATAATTCTATTACTTTGTAATATATATAGTGATTCCCTCCTCTGTCCTTTTGATGTTTACCTTTGGGCTACTGTTGGATCTTGTATAAGACCTCTATTATATGCCATTAAGTGTGCTGCTTTATAATATTGTTTACGTATCTGTTTCCCCCAGTAGACCAAGAGCTTTTGACCCTGTCTTATTCATCTCTGTCTCTCCAATGCATAATGCATAGTAAGTGCTCAATAAATATTTGTTGAATTAAAATTAATGAACTAGGCTAACCAAACTAGGATATTATAAAGGTCTGAGGATTTATCTTAATGAACCAATGAATGAGAGAATGATTGTGTCTTTTTTTTTTTTTTTTTTTTGAGCCAGAGTCTCACTCTGTTGCCCGGGCTAGAGTGCTGTGGCACTGCTGCTGAGGTAGCTCACAGCAACCTCAAACTCCTGGGCTCAAGCAATCCTTCTGCCTCAGCCTCTCGAGTAGCTGGGACTGCAGGCATGTGCCACCATGCCCGGCTAATTTTTTCTATATATTTTTAGCTGACCAATTAATTTCTATTTTCAATAGAGATGGGGTCTGGCTCTTGCTCAGGCTGGTCTCGAACTCCTGACCTAGAGCGATCCTCCCACCTCGGCCTCCCAGAGTGCTAAGATTACAGGGGTGAGCCACCACGCCCACCCGGCCTGATTGTGTAATAACATGTTAAAGATATATAAGGTATTTATATTTGCATACATTTTTATTTTTCTATTTGCTCAGCAAACATTTATTTTTATAGATTGCATAAATATAAGCTCCAGCTAAGTTCTTTTCTGAAATATCACAGATTTCAAATTAGGGAAGTCTAAAAGTGAGGCTTTACCATACTGTGCTTTGCCTTGTTTCACTTTGCTTGGTATTAATATGCATCTGGGTTTGGACAAGACAGGCACTAGAAAATATGGTTCTGGCTAACATATACCAGTTTTTAAGGGCCCAACAAAATTTTAAAAAAATTCTTAATGTTATGATTTATAGTCAGAAACTTACTAAACTATAAAGCCAAATTCTCTGCCTTACTGCCTTTGGTGCTTAGTCCATTCAGACTGCTATCACAAAATACCATAAACTGGGTGGCTTCTAAACAACGGAAATTTATTTCTTACAGCTCTGGAAGGTAGAAAGTCTAAAATCAAGGCGCTAACAGTTTAGTTTCTAGTGAAGACCCACTTTCTGGTTCATAGATGGTACCTTCTAAAGACAGCTCTCTGGGGCCTGTTTTATAAAGGCACTAATCCCATTTATGAAGGCTCCACCCTCATGACCTAATCACCTCCCAAAGGCCCCACCTGCTAATACCATCCCCTTGGGGGCTAGGATTTCAATATATGAATTTTTTTTTTGAGGGGGGACACAAACATTCAGACCATAGCAGTGCTACTACTAAGGTTTAACTCATAGGGATCCCAGCAGGTTGCTTTTTTCTTAATTGCAGCTTTCATTTAGGGGACAAAGTGAAAAATGGGACACCCTTGGCTGGTTGGGAGGGGAATGGTAGGGAAAGAGGACCCTGCTTGTGTTTTTTCCATTCTAATGTTAAAATCATGGTTAATTCAGTGATTTCCTTATGATATTCCCACTCTAGAAACGTGCTTACAAGAGCTATGTCCGAGCCCTCCCTCTGCTGAAGAAAATGGGGATCAATTCCATTCTCCTCCGAAAAAGCATTGGTGCCCTTGAGGTGGCCTGCGGCATCGTCATGACACTTGTGCCTGGGCGTCCCAAAGACGTGGCCAACTTCTTCCTGCTCTTGCTGGTGTTGGCTGTGCTCTTTTTCCACCAGCTGGTCGGTGATCCTCTCAAACGCTATGCCCATGCGCTGGTGTTTGGAATCCTGCTCACCTGCCGCCTGCTAATTGCCCGCAAGCCTGAAGACCGATCTTCTGAGAAGAAGCCCTTGCCCGGAAGTGCCGAGGAGCAACCTTCCTTATATGAGAAGGCCCCTCAGGGCAAAGTGAAGGTGTCATAGAAAAGTGGAAGTGCAAAAAGTGGACCTTCCAGGCAGTTGCCTCCATGTCAGTGTGTGTTTTTCATTTGATTTATTTATCTTGGGGAAAGGGAAAAATATAATCTGCAAGATAATGACCCTATTGGCTTGTGTACATCTATACCCTAAAATGACTTCCCCACATTGACATTTGTGTGCCACCTTTAATCACTCTGGGGCAATTCTCACATCTTGCTGCATGTACATGTATACAGCTACTATTGAAGTGTAATTGTGAGATGGACTCCAGCAAGCATGTGACTGTGAGATTATGTGTGGGAAAATGTATTTAACTATTGTGTGTGTGTATGTGTGTGTGTGTACACTCACACATGTGCAGAGAAGGCTCTGATCTTGAACTAATCCTGCAGAAGTATCCTTCCCTTTATAGATTGATTCCAGCAAAGGCAGAATAAAATAAACCTCATATAAAGAGAATCCTACTTACTTCTGGTATAAAACAAGTGATGTATTCCCATGGTGGAGGAACTCCTCAATAGATGAAGCTGAAAACTTAAACTCACCACTTTAGGAAAAAAATTCATTTCAATTTGAGACACTGAATTACATGTAAAATTAATTAGCCCTTACCCTAACAGTTGTTTAAATTTTAAATACTCCATATTGAGTTTAATTAAAACAAAGGGTATATGCAGTCAAAAGATAGTTTAATTCTTTAAGTGATAAAATAGGAAGTTTCACCTTGCCTTTGTCTGAGTCCCATCTACTAAGTCCCTTTACTCACAGTGCGAAACTGAAATAGTAAACTTGTTACCAGACATCTTTTTCAGATTTTCTTAAGCCCAAAGCTGCCTCACATCCACTATTCTCTGCAGTTAACCAGTTTTTGGCAGCTGCTCCACTGTTGCAGTTCAGGGAGCAGGGAGCAGTCCTGTTAGAAGTCTGTGAATCGCAAACTCTAGCTGTTCTCTGAAATCATCTCAAATTTGACAAGCTGTATCTAGTGTTTCCTTGCCAAACAGATTCACTACTCCTATTGATTCTTCACTAAACTTTGCTAGTGTAAGCAGAGTTCCAAGTCATCTCCCAGGATTGTCTCCTGTACACTTCTTTATCATTCTGGTGGGTGGAGTTTAGCTGGGGGAAGGACATTTGCTATGGGTTAGTTGGATTGAGCAGTATGAAAATTCGCTTTCTTCATTACATACTGCTGTTTCTCCTTGTTAAATGTGCTTTGATGGTTTTAATATTATTGTGCCAGGGATGGGGAAAGGGGTGGGGGGTTGTGTGTGGGGAGAGTACTTATTATTGTATTTTCTTCAGTGTCATTGTTCTTGGTAATTGATAATTCTCTGTCTTATTTCTCTCATTCTTTCAAAATAAAAAATTTTTGAAATTTGGAGGAAACTGGACAAATACTGAAAGAAAGGCTCATATCAAAGGATTTAGGGTCTCTTTTTAAGTCTGGTTGAGGGAGAAGAGGAAAGAGAGGGGGTAGTATAACACTTAATATACTAATGAGGTTGCCAACTTTCCAATCTCATTTAAGTTCCCCCACATGTTTGTTATGTTAGCACACAAGACAGAAAGCCATAGAATTAGCATCCCAATACAATTTCCAATTTTGGGGAGTTCTGCTTTTTTATATTAAGTGATGCCAAAGGAAGTTAGAAAAATGATTTCAAAGAAAATTGAAGGTATAGTAAATAAAGATGAACCACTGTCTCTCACTATTATAAGTGTCCACAAAGTGGCACAAAGTTGCATTGCCACAGACTAGTCACATAAGGCAAGATATTGAACCACTCAGGGCTTCAGTTTCTTCATTTACAAAAAGAAGGGTGTTGAAGCCTTAAAATCCCTTCCAATTTACATTTCTTTGAGTCTATTAAATGATTAAAAGCATGAAAAATAACTTGAGAAAATTTCAATTTTACTAAAGAATAGCATCATAAGAAAAATTGAAGTCTCAATTTTCATGCATGATTAAATAAGAGTGTGAAACTACTCTGAAAACCATATAAATATAAGATGTGGTAAATAATCATTTCTGCTGTAGCCTTTCCCAAATACTTAAACTTTATATCTCTGTAAGATTGCAAAGTTTCCCCTTACATTTTTGTCTAAAGTTTATATGTATATTTTGGCCTCAACAGGTCATTGAGAGTCGTTAAATTTATATATTTTCTCTCTTATTCCTACTTTAATAAGAGAATAAATTAGGGACTAACCTCAGACCTCGGACTAAGCCCCTAATGCTGTTTTAGTCACTTTCTTTAAGGGCAATTGATTCCTCAAGGTTAGAATATTTACATGTTGGCAGCTAACTACTTACAAGGTGGCACAACATCTGGTTCAGAACACACATTTCTAGAAAACCTCGGAGGGTAACCGTACCCATCCTCCGTAAAAGGAGGGAAGATCCAGCCTTTCTTTTTCCTTTTGCCCTCTAGCTTCACTTGGGGAAAGTAACAAGACACTTTAAGTCTCAGCATGGAAGAAACCGCCTTTATTGTGAAATTTGCGGTTTCATATTTTCCTACAGATTCAAAATCCCGACACTTGAGGTCAGTCTGGGCAAAGTGATCACTGTGATTGATAATGTTAAATTCAAGAACCGAAACACTAATTGTCCCGTTTTACGCAAAATGATGAGGGCGAACATTATTAGAACAGTGAGAACGCCAGCCAATCAGCTGACTCCAGCAGCAACGGCCCACTCGCTGCGCGCCCCCAGGACCGGGTGGGTGGGGCAAGCCGTTCCCCGTAATTGAGTCTGCGTCAGCGTCGGCGCGCGCGCCACCTCCCGCCATAGAGCCGTACTTCAACCAATCAGGCTCCTGCAGAGTTCGCCGCTCCGCCCAGCCGCCGCCAGGGCCTCCTCAGAAGCGCATGCGTAGGGTGGGGCCTGCTCCTTTGAATCCCGGAGGCGGCATTCGGACTTCAGAGGTTTGGGGCCCAACAGTGTGTCAGGTAAGGTGCTTTTAAACACCGCGGGAAATGGACGCCCTAAGAGCGGAGGGACTTTCTTAACTTCTGAGAGCGGAAGTGTCCTGCAAGGTGTGGCTGGGGTCGGGTTTTCTGTGGTCATTTTCGCTCCCCGCTGGGGCAGGCTGTGAAAGGGATCCTCTGGTAGCGCCTCAGGGAGGGTTCAACCGGATGGGATGGGGTTAGAAGCTGCTCCCCCGCCCTTTTGTAGGACCCTAGGAAACAATTCGGAATTTGGAAACTCTTCTGGATTGGACATGCAAATTACTCTCCTGCTCTGCCTTCATCTGTTCTAGGGAGGTGGGATCTAGTGTCGTTACGATCATTCCCTTAGTTTTTCCCCTTTGAAGCTGAAAACTTAGAAATCATTCTTGGTTTTTCTTTCCTTTTTCCTACATCCAATTCTTTTATTACAGCTTGTCCAGTCTACCTCCAAAACATAGCACGAATCTAATCATTTTCCACTTCTACACTTTACACACCGTAGGCCTGGTGCAGACTACAAGTCATCCCTCATCTGGACTTCTGTAGCAGCCTTTTAATTGGTTTCTTGCCACTCCTTGACACCTAACGTTCTAGTCTTCACACTGCAGCTAAAATGACCTTTTTTTTTAGACAGAGTCTTACTCTGTTGCCCGGGCTACAGTGCCATGGCGTCAGCCTAGCAACCTCAAACTCCTGGGCTCAAGTGATCCTCCTGCCTCAGCCTCCCGAGTAGCTGGGACTATAGGCAGGAGCCACCTTGCCCGGCTAATTTTTTGTTTCTATTTTTAGTTGACTGGCTAATTTTGTTTTCTATTTTTAGTAGAGACGGGATCTCACTCTTGCTCAGGCCTGTCTCGAACTCCTGAGCTCAAGCAATCTTCCTGCCTTGGCCTGCCAGAGTGCTAGGATTATAGGCGTGAGCCACCACACATCAGATGGTATATTATTCCTCTCTTTAACCCTCCCCTACCCCCATGGTTTCCTATGACACTTAAAATCTAAACTCCTTACTCTGGCCTACAAGTCCCAATATGATCTAGTCCCTGGCTACTTTTCTGATTTCATCTGTTACTACCCTTTACCTCTTTCACTCCACTCCCTGCACACTGGTGTTGCTGCTGTTTCTTTAACACAAAAAGCTTTTTATTTTATTTTATTTTAGAGACAGAGTCTTGCTCTGTCGCCAAGGGTAGAGTGCAGTGGCATCATCATAGCTCACTGCAATCTCAAACTCCTGGGCTCAAGCAATTCTCCCACTTTGGCCTCCCAGAGTGCTAGGATTACAGGCATGAGCCACTGCGCTCAGCCTCAAAGTGGTTTTTACTCTAAGGTCTTAGCATGTCTTCCTCTTCCCTGTCCATGAAATACTCTTCTACCAGATCTTCACATGGCTGGTTCCTTCTTGCATTAAAATCTCAGCTTAAAGGTCACCTCAGAGGGGCTCTCTGAACACTTATTTCAAAGTAGCTTCCTGCCCTATTTTCTATCACATCACTGTGTATTATATTCATTATTATTTACTTATTTATTGACTCTTACCCCTTCCCCCAGTGAAAGTTTCATGATAGCAGGGACCCTGACTGTTTGATTATTTTATCTCTGGTACCTAGAATTGTACTTAGCATATAGATGATGTTCAGTAATTATTTATTGAATAAGTGAATTAATAAATTGGGAATGTTTCTTTCCTGAGAATGCTTAGTTTTGCCACCAGTTTGGCTTTTGAACTATGCAGTCTTAGCACTGACAAATGAGGAGCATAAAGTTTAAAAGCAAAATCAAAGAGGAATGGAGAAAACAGGAGTGGAGAAAGTAAGACTGAGTTCATGAAATGGATTAGTTTTGGACTCACTGATATGATGTAGCCATTCTAAGAGAGAATTTCCTATGTTGCCAGTAATCTTACTGTTATGTTTTGTTTTTTTCCACAAGAAGGCCAGTTCAGCTGATGAATGTTACCTTGGCAAGTTGTTTCTCTCTGTTTCTATTTAGATCAAGGGCTTTCTGAGAAAGTTAACCTATAGATTTTATTTCCTGGATTGTCAACTTATTTATTGTATATCTGTTGTATGCTAGGTATTGTGTACTAAGTATTGGGAATACAAGCAAATGTGATCCCTATCCCTGTGGAGGAAAAGGGAGTTTGGCTGATTAACTATAACTTAACATTTGTTTCTGAATAGAACATATGCAGTAATGTTGCCTCAAAAAAGAGTTAAGAACTCCCAGGCACAAAACAATACTTCACAAGGTAGTAATAGTCGTCAAACCAAGCTCTCAGCCTGGAGAGAAAAACAGGATCAAAGTGACTCAAAGAGCATCTCAAAACATGGACAAAAGAGTCCCGTGGAAGATTATGAACATGCTGATGATCAAGCTGAAGACACTTTGCAAATAGCAGTGGGATACTTTGAGAAAGGTAAAGGTGGATTGTTTTCCCTATGAATGTCCTATTTCTGTAAAAATATACATTTATTGAGCACCTCCTACATATCTATATGCTAGGTACTAGGGACACAAGAGCAAAACATCTTAGCAGAGTGGTTCCCAAACTGCTGCATATTGGGATCACTGGAGAATCTTAAAACACAAAACAAAACTCATGTCCATTGTCAGACATTCTGATTTTTAATTTTTTCAGAGACAGAGGCTTGCTCTGTCACCCAGGCTGGAGTGCGATGGCATGATCATAGCTCACTGTAACCTTGAATTCCTGGACTCAAGTGATCTTCTTGCCTCAGCCTCCCAAAATGCTAGGATTACAGGCGTGAGCCACTATACCATGCCAACATTCTGATTTTATTGGTATGGAATGCAACTTGGTATTGGAATTGTTTAAAAAGGCTTCCTAGATGATCCCAATGTACAGCAAACTTTGGGAACCCCTGCCTAAGTATTGAAACAGGTTATAGTATAAGTTCAGTGTTTTTAGATAGTTTAGAAAAGGAATGTCAGGGCATGCTTAGGCTTTCCTCACTGAAGGTGCTATTGCTATTAAATATTATAGAGTTTTAAGGGCTTTGAAGGGTTTTTAGGAAGACATTTTACATAAAGCTATTCTTTTAAAGAGCCCCAAGTTGTAATTGTTCAGGCTGGGGACTGAAAGAATCTTAAAGGTCTCACTATTTAATATTGTTTTTTTCAGGTCCCATTAAAACTTCACAAAATAAAGGTAAAACCTTGGAAAAGCACTTGAAAACTGTGGAAGATGTGGCTTGGAAGAATGGGTTAGCTCCAGAAGAAATTGACATTCTATTAAATGTGGCACTCAGTGGCAAATTTGGTATGTTGAGGGGATATGTTTGTCATCGGTTGGGTATTTTGCCTTTTAGACCTTGAGTTAGATTTCTCATTGGAATCAGTTGTAGTTCTTACTATTATCTTCATAAGACCAATCTGGTAAGATTATAAAATGGCCCTTTCTTGTGTTTAGACTACCTTATGAGGCAAAAGTTTCTGTATGCATATGCTGAAAATGACCAGTTACTACATATCATTACAAATAAAATGCATAGACTCTTGTCACCAAATACATGGTAACCATTTTTTAGCATTTCTTTTAAGAAGCATAGTAACAGGCCAGGTGTGGTGGCTCATGCCTGTAATCCTAGCACTCTGGGAGGCCAAGGCGGGAGGATCGCTCAAGGTCAGGAGTTCGAGACCAGCCTGAGCAAGAGTGAGACCCTATCTCTACTAAAAATAGAAAAAATTAGCTGGGCTTTGTGGCACATACCTGTAGTCCCAACTACTAGGGAGGCTGAGGCAGGAGGATTGCTTGAGCCCAGGAATTTGAGGTTGCAGTGAGCTATGATGATGCCACTGCACTCTAGCCCAGGTGACAGAGCGAGGGATACTCGGTCTCAAAGACAAAAAAGAAAAGAAAAAAAGCATAGATAACAATTTAAGTAATGATACCAGAAGTCTCCTTTAAAAGATCACTTAATCTACTTCATTGCCTTTAGGTTTACTTATCTATGGCAAACCCCTGTTTACGTTGTCTCTATTCCGATGTATTTAAAAATGCATGCCTCAGACTCTAGAAACTTGTATATAGCAATTTAAAAAAGAATCTCTGGCTTTCTAGTGTTACTTTTCAATTTTCCATTGAGCTCAAATTTACTGAGGTCAAATGTGGCCTCCTTCATTCGTTTTGTTCCTTTTAGTTATTTCTGTGTTGTCCCCTATTCCTAGTAGATCATTACATGTAGCTCTCTTGGTAAGCTGAAACACATTATTTAGGGGCAGATATGCTAGAAATGTCATCATAATCAAGTGCAAAGGGACTTTAGACTCTTTAGAAATTAATTAAAAAACCACTGGGAAGTAAAAGTAGAGTCAGTACTGAATTCCCCCTTTGAATTTAGTACATGTGTAAAGTGTTAGTGATGAGATTATTTTAAACTTAGAAGGGTTAGTAGATGGGAGTGGGAGAGAAAAAAAGAAATGAAACCACAAGCGTGGAAAGCAGAGATTTTTATTTTTGTGATTCATTACCTGCCATCACTGCATCCTTTCTTCTCCACAGAGTGATAGGGTAGAAATTATTGAGATATATTTTAATTCTTAAACTTTAATAAGCAGAAGTTGATATTTGGTATATACAAAGCCTGTCTCTGTTATACCACTTTTATTACCAGATGGGAGAACACCATGGATGCCAGAGACCAAGATGGAAAGATTTGACTAGTGTAGAATGAAATTACTGCTGGCTAATTCCAAGGATATCTGTTCCATTTTGCTACTCCCTCCCCCCCTTTTGGGGGAGTGGAGGATACAAATAAATTTATTCTTTTTTTTTTTTTTTTGAGACAGAGTCTCACTGTGTTGCCCGGGCTAGAGTGCCGTGGCATCAGCCTGGCTCACAGCAACCTCAAACTCCTGGGCTCAAGTGATCCTCCTGCCTCAGCCTCCCAAGTAGCTAGGACTACAGGCATGCACCACCATGCCCGGCTAATTTTTTCTATATATTTTTAATTGGTCAATTAATTTCTATCTATTTTTAGTAGAGATGGGGGTCTCACTCTTGCTCAGCTGGTTTTGAACTCCTGACCTTGAGCGATCCTCCCGCCTCGGCCTCCCAGAGTGCTAGGATTACAGGTGTGAGACACCGCGCCAGGTTATTCTTAAATATAGCATCTTATGCAAGGTGTCTGTCAGTAGCTTTGAATACATCAGTCTATTATGCCATTAAAAAATAATCTTTGAAATTTCTCTCTGATTGAAAGGCTTTTTTTGAGATATAATTTACATACCATAAAATTTATCCTTTTAAAAATTCAGTTTTTAAGCATATTCAGAATTGTGCAATCATCACCACTATCTAATTCTTGAACATTTTCCTCACCCCAGGAAGAAACCCTGTACTCATCTCCCCTTTTTAAATAGAAATATTTGGACCAAATAATTTGCTTTATAGTTTATATTAAAAGTTAAAGGTACATTTTTGTTTTGAATAATTTTTAATGATGATAAGAGATGCTGAATATTATACACTGCTGTTTTTTTCTCCCTCCTCCTCTTCCTCCTATACTGCTGTTTTATTGCCTTCAGTATAAAGAGAAAGTTTTAGGTCTAAGAGTGAATAATAGTAAAGGAACCATTGAGACACTAAAATGTAGTTTAATTTAGAGTTTATCTGCTTTCCAGGAAATGCTATAAACACACGGCTATTGAAGTGCATGATTCCAGCAACTCTAATATTAGAAGATTCTGTGGTTAAGGCAGTCTCCTGGCTTTGTGTTGGCAAGTGTTCTGGTAGCATCAAGGTAATCTTTTTAAACACTTTGATGATAAGTCCTTCAGAACCACTTAAGGGCTGGCCAGGAAGAGCCACTTAAGAAGTAATGGCTGTGGCCTTTTGTGCAAAGCCTGTAGTTTTGGAACAATATAGCTTGATGCAAGGACTCTGGTCAAACAGAAATTTTTACCGAGAAATAAAATCTATTATCTTACTTTGTGCCATAAGATTGTAAAACAGCCCTGAGAGGGGAATTAAGCTCTTCTGTACTGGTTATATTTCTCTAAAGATAAGCATTTTGTCTCTCTCGATAGGTACTTTTTTATCGTTGGCTGGTTGCAATGTTTGACTTTATTGATCATAAGGAGCAAATTAACTTGCTCTATGGCTTCTTTTTTGCTTCATTGCAAGATGATGCACTGGTAAGTAAAAATTGGACAGCATCAAGTATCAATCAGATATTACATGCGTGTATAGTGACGTACCATATGTGCTTCAGAGTGATACACAATGTGTTTTTCCTTATTTATTTTAAAATATATCAAATATGCAGAAATGTACAAAGAGAACAGTACAAACATAAATATATCAAATATACGGACAAGTACAAAGAATAACATTCTGTCTTACACCTATTTCTCACATTAACAAATATAAAATTTTTATCATATTTGCTTTGTATTTTATTTTAAGGAAATAAAAATGTTACAGACAGAGTTGATTCCACATTGGAGTTGTTTTTGCTGATCTAGAGTGGTGATTGCCATCTTTTCCTTTTTAAACCACTTTAACAGGGTCCTTTGGGTCACTTACTCTGCATTTTCTTGATTAACACTGCAAAAACCTCATCAGAATTAATGAGAAGGAGAGGATTACTTTTCATGAGTTGCCAATGGACTGATTTTGATTAAATAGCATAATTATTCCCATTAAAAACATTAATAACTCTAAGAAATCAATCTACTGTCCACCTGGAAGTCTTTCAAGGACCATCAGTAGTTGACAGGCCATGTGAACCACTCATCTAACTGTATTCCTCTTGTTTGGGGGAAGGGAATTCATTCACTGATTTCCTTTTTAGAAATTGATGTTTCTACTGTGTTTGTTGCATTATACTAGGCACTGTAGAAGATTAAAAGTTTAGCACAGGGTTTCTGTACTCCAGGAACTTAAAATCTACTTGGGGAATTAATGAAAGCACATAGAGTTAAATACCAACTCAAGGGTTAAGCTATCAAAGATAGTATATGATAGTGTGAGCATAATTGTAATATTTCCAGGAAGGAAGAGAACACTATAAATCAGAGTGATTAGAAAAAGTGTCATAAAGTATGTGGGCGTTGGGCCTTGAAGGTTGAATAGGACTTGGGATTTGATGAGAGGAAATGTTTGATATTGTGGGAATATTTCAAGCAAAGTTGTGAAATGTGTACATTGTTTCAGGAGACCATAAATAGACCAGCCTGATTTAATTGGAGTTGGTGTTTGGTGGTAACGCTGAAAGAGTTGGGTAAGGACAGATTATAGAGGTCTTTTAATGTGATACTAAGGAATTTGAGTTTTACTCTCTATTCAGTAGGGAAATCACTGAAAATTTGTGGGCAGGATATGTTTGTTTATTTTTTGAGACAGAGTCTCACTTTGTTGCCCAGGCTAGAATGAGTGCCGTGGTGTCAGCCTAGCTCACAGCAACCTCAAACTCCTGGACTCAAGCAATCCTGCCTCAGCCTCCCGAGTAGCTGGGACTACAGGCATGCGCCACCATGCCCGGCTAATTTTTTTCTATATATATTAGTTGGCCAATTAATTTCTTTCTATTTATAGTAGAGACAGGGTCTCACTCTTGCTCAGTGCTGGTTTCGAACTCTTGACCTCAAGCAATCCCCCCGCCTTAGCCTCCCAGAGTGCTAGGATTACAGGCATGAGCCACCACGCCTGGCTGGCAGAATATGTTTAAAGCAGCTTTGTAGGAAGCTGTATCTGATACCACCAAATAATATGAATTAAGGAAGAGGATAGAGGCAGGAAGACTAGTTAGGAGGCTAACATGATAATCTGGTATAACATGATAAAGTCCTAGACTGGAAATTCTCAAATATGGTCTGTGGACCTCCTGGGGCTCCCTGAGATCTTTTCAGGAAGTCTGAAAGGTCAAAATTATTTTCATAATAATGCCAAGATATTATGTGCTATTTTCACTTTGACCTTGGCACTGATGTGGCTAAAGCAGTGGTGGATAAAACTGCTAGTCCTTTAAAATGAATCAAGGCAGGGGCACCAGACTGTACTAGTGGTTATTGTATTCTTCACTGTGGTAAAAAACAGAAATGCTAGTTTCACTTAAGAATGTCAGATGAAGTAGTAAAAATTAATTCATTAGTTTTATTAACTCTTCACTCTTTACACATTTCTTTAATATTCTGTGTGATGAAATGGCAAATACAAACAAAGCCCTTCTGTATACTTAACTACGCTGGTGGTTCTGAGGAAAAGCACTTGCGTGATTCTGTTATAAACCAAATTAGCCGCTTTTTTTTAATGGAACACCACTTTTATTTGAAAGAATGACTGATGTACAAACTATGGTTATTCAGACTTTGGTATTTGGAAGATGTTTTCTTGAAAACGAACAAAGCAAGCCTGTTATTTCAAAGAAAACAACTGGCAGTATTTGTTGCCAATGATAAAATTTGAGCATTCAAGTGAAAATTTGAAGTTTGGAAAGTTTGAATCTGCCACTTCGAATCTGACAGCTTCAAGATACTTACACTTTTCTGATGATATTGGTGACCATATTAATGTGATTTTTCGATATTATATAATGAAATGTGTAAGCATTTGGAAGGTTGGTATAACTCAGTGAACCAATATTTCCAGATGAGCAAGCATGTTACAAAATCATGCATGGGTAAAACATCGATTCAAAATGCAAGATATATCAATGAATTTTAATGGAACAGAATACAAACCTTTTATTGATAAGGTCTCAGATTCTACTTTGTAGCTGATCCTTAAGAACTACTACTTGTCAAGTTTTGGTATAGTATGAAAGAATAATATCCACAATTTTCTAGGAAGGCTATTAAAATATTCTTCCCTTTTTCAACTTACATATCTGTAGGGCTGGATTTTCTTTATGTAATTCAATCAAAACAACATATCTTAACAGAATGCAGAAGCACAATCCCACTGTATTCTATGAAGCCTGAAACATTAAAAAGATTTGTAGAAATGTAAAACAATGTCACTGTTCTTGCTATTTTTTTGTTTGGAAAATATAGTTATTTTTCATAGAATGTTTTTGTTAGCATGTAATAGTTTTACTTTTTTCCCATGGTGTTACTGATAGCTGAATTAGGTTTATTTTTTAATGAATTAATAAACATTAAAAAATTTCCCAGGCTGGGCTTGGTGGCTCACACCTGTAATCCTAGCACTCTGGGAGGGCCTGAGGAGGGAGGATTGCTTGAGCTCAGGAGTTCGAGACCAGTCTGAGCAAGAGCTAGACCCCATCTCTACTAAAAATAGAAAAACTAGCTGGGCATGGTGGTGTGTGCCTGTAATCCCAGCTACTTGGGAGGCTGAGGCAGGAGGATCACTTGAGCCCAGGAGTTTGAGGTTGCTGTGAGCTAGACTGGTGCCATGACACTCTGGCCCAAGTGACAGAATGAGACTGTCTCAAAAAATTTTTTTTTTCAGTTTTAATTTCTAATATGGTGAATATTGACAGAATCCAGAAAAACAAAAGTTCTTTGGGGTTCTCTGATTTTTAAGAGTGTAAAGGGTACTGAGACCAAAAAGTTTGAGAATCACTGTCTTAGACTAGGGGTGTGGCAGTGGGAATGAAAAGACAGATTTTAGGGAAAATTGTAAAGGAAGAATTGTCATGACCTGGTATCTAAACTGGATTAGGGAAAGGCAGGAATTAAAGATCTGAATTTATAAGTTAGCAGAACTCAGAATGACAGAGGAAATTTGTGAGAAGGAGCTAGTTTTGGAAGGAATTTAATATATTTGGGGTTAGATGTACAAAATTTGAGGTTGCAAGGCATCCTATATAAATTCTCTCACTGAACATTTATTAACTACAATCTATGCTGGGCACTGAACTAATGTTGGAAATACAAATGTGAATAAGATATAATAGCTAATTTATGTCAGGCTTACATGCCAGGTACTAAGTGCTTTATATACGCAGTATTTCATCAACTCTAAGTTGCTATCAGTTGTAAGATGCACCATCATCTCATGAACCACTAAGAAAGATTGCTGCCTTTTAAACTGTCACATGACATTGATTATAGGACTAGTTTGGTTTTCAGAGATGTTAAAATATAGAAAATAATTGTTATAATACATAAACTATTCTTTCCAGTCCTGTGGATCTAAAAGTTTTTTTTAATTGTCACATCAATATTCTTAAAAAGTTTTTTTTGACTTTTTTTCTGTATCTGTGTTGATCAGTGCAGTAGCTACCAGCCTCATGTGACTAGTGAGCACTAGAAATGTGGCTAGGTTAAACTGAAATGTGCTTTAAGTGCAAAATGCATATCAGATAAAATATGGTTTTAACTCATTTAAACCTCTTGACAGCCTTATGAGGTATATACTGTTATCCACATTTTAGAGATGAGGAATTTGAAGCACAGAGAAGTCAAATAATTACCCAGGGTAAGATGACTAGAGACCCTGGATTTGTGGAAACTTATATATATCATTCCTGTTTTAGAGATGAGACAAATGAAGCATAGAAAAATAACTTTGCTAAGATAAACTACCTAGTAAGAGGGTCTCAAAGATCTCTAAAGTGGGGGAGAGGTAAGTATAGTGTGATAAACCCTATGATAATATCCACAGGGTTCTATGGGGGTATAGAGGAGAGGTGTCAAATAGACTAGGGATCAGGGTTAAAATTATAAGAATTTTTTTTTGACAGGAAGAGAAATACCTGTGCTGACAATAAGTAAAAAGGATGGGTGTTGACGTTAATAAATCTGTGGATTAGTAGGGGACACAACTGAGAAAATTCCTTTCTAGTGGTCTTAGTGATTGTTTTTTTTTAAATTTTTCATTCAAGGAGGTAAGGTATGCTGAGAATGAAGAGGGGAAGATACAATGTTATGTTTGAAGAGAGTGCAGATTTTGAAATGGCTGCTGGTGGGAATGGGACACAGTTTTAGAGACACAGTTTTGAGAGCCCAGATAAAGTTAGCACAAATTTGTGACGTTACTAATATGAAAGGGTAGGTGATTTCTCCAGAATAGGGCAAGAGAGTGATAGAGCTGATGGACCATAGGGTCTAGAGTGAAAAGGGAAGAAAGTGAAGACAGAGGAGGGCACATTTGGAACACATACAGCTAAGGTTTGTGATGCCTTAATGACATTCAGGAAGTACAGTAGTTGTCCTGTCCCTCAGTACCC